TGTGCGCCCGCCTATGGTATATGTGCACATGTGTGTGGCTGAGGGGGTGTGCTCACAGGCCAGGGGGGATGTCAGGTGTCCTGTTCTATACACTTCGCCTTGTCTCCTTGAACCTGGACCTGGGCTGGAAGCCAGGAAGCCTCAGGGGTCTTCTTGCCTCTGCTTCCTACAGTGCTGGAGTTACAGGAGTACAGGCCACACCCTACATTGGGTGCTGGGAATTTGAACTCAAGTCCTTGCAAGCCTTTCTACCCCCTAAGCATCCCTCCATGCCCAGGACTCGGGACTTCTTATCTGAATCCGAGTCACTCTTCCCCTTGCCCTCATGTCTTGAGTATTACCTTTTTTAGTCCACTTTCCTGGCCCAGAGCCCTTCCATCACCTCCCCTGGTGCCACAACCCCTGGTACTTCAGTCTCTCAGCCAGACCTTACCGAGGAATTCACAGAGCATCCCGACGAATTTCTCACCGATCCTCAGTTCCTCATATATGCTGTTTCCCCCATAGAATGCCCTCCTTTCTCTGTGTCCCCAGAAGGGCGTTCTTGGCAGGAGATGAGGGAGAGGGTTTAGCCATAGTGCCTCCATCTTCCCGCTCCTTCTCTCTTGTCTCTGTGAGTCTCTGACCTCTAAGTTTTCTTTCCTCAAGGTTGTGCTAGGACTTTGTACCATTCTGTGCACGAAAAGATCTTCACACTTCCTGGCAACTGTCTCATCTATCCGGCTCACGATTACCACGGTGAGGGCTCGCCCGAGGCCAATGCAGACCGCTGTCACTTAAGGCAGGGAATAAATAATACCCTCTGCCTGTTGTCTCCACGAGGCACGGAGGCTGCAGAACCCAGAAATTCCTGCGGCTGGAAAGATGACGCGCTTGGGCGTGCTGTGTGGATGTAGAAACAATTAAGAGACCTCTGCAGGGCATGTAGGTTTTCCTGGGACCGTCCCCCTAGAGTTCGGGAACTGTGGAAACTACAATTCCCATAGTGCCCTGAGAGAGGCGGGGCAGCGTCTCAGGGCCATTCAGGGAAGGGCCAGTTCGTCCCAAGGTCTCCTGGGAAATGTAGTTCTGAGCCGCCCAAGGCACCGAGCCCCTGGTTACTTTCCTTTCCCTCCCCTTTGCCAACAGGGCTCACCGTCTCTACTGTGGAGGAAGAGCGGACTCTGAACCCACGGCTCACCCTCAGCTGTGAGGAGTTCATCAAGGTCATGGACAACCTGAACTTGCCCAAGCCGAAGCAGATAGGTGAGAGTCCCCAGGGTCTGAGGAAAGAGCGGTTGGGGTGTGAATCCCTGGATCTGAGGGAGGAGGGTCCTGAACTCCTTGATCTGAAAGGAGGGCTGGGGCCTGGACCCCTGGGTCTGAGAGAGGAGGGCTGGGTTGGACCCCTGGGGCTGAGGGAGGAGGGCTGGGTTGGACCCCTGGGGCTGAGGGAGGAGGGCTGGGTTGGACCCCTGGGGCTGAGGGAGGAGGGCTGGGTTGGACCCCTGGGGCTGAGGGAGGAGGGCTGGGTTGGACCCCTGGGGCTGAGGGAGGAGGGCTGGGTTGGACCCCTGGGGCTGAGGGAGGAGGGCTGGGTTGGACCCCTGGGGCTGAGGGAGGAGGGCTGGGTTGGACCCCTGGGGCTGAGGGAGGAGGGCTGGGTTGGACCCCTGGGGCTGAGGGAGGAGGGCTGGGTTGGACCCCTGGGGCTGAGGGAGGAGGGCTGGGTTGGACCCCTGGGGCTGAGGGAGGAGGGCTGGGTTGGACCCCTGGGGCTGAGGGAGGAGGGCTGGGTTGGACCCCTGGGTCTGAGGGAGGAGGGCTGGGTCTGGACCCCTGGGTCTGAGGGAGGAGGGCTGGGTCTGGACCCCCTGGGTTTGAGGGAGGAGGGCTGGGTTGGACCCCTGGGTCTGAGGGAGGAGGGCTGGGTTGGACCCCTGGGTCTGAGGGAGGAGGGCTGGGGTCTGAGGATTAGGACTCGGGACTAGAACTGTAGTCCCCACGAAAGAGCCCTGAGCATTTCCTGGGCCTCTGTGAGACTGAGTCACTGCTGCGACCTCACAATCATTTGAGGTTTCTTTTCAGACTTTGCTGTTCCCGCAAACATGCGCTGTGGGGTCCAGACGCCACCTTCCTGACTGGTCCCAGCCGGCTGCTTGTATCCGTTGCTGCTGGTGGGGTGAGGGGAGGGGCGGCACCCCAGAGCCTCTCTCCTCTCCCACCCCTACTCTCACCAGCTATTTGAGCTTCTTAAATAAACTTTGTTTTTGCCACGAGTCTGAGTTCTGCTTGTTTTCTTGGGGAAGGAATTACGTTTCCAGACGCATGCCGAGACTCAGTTCCGGTCCCTCGGAAAGCCAGGGTAGACTGGGATGCGGTGCTGTTAGTGGAGGGCTTGCCTAGCACGTATGAAGTCCTGTGTTCCATCCTCAGCACCAGGCATGACAGCTGCAGTCCTGAATCCCTGGGGCACTTGGGAGCTCGGGGCAGGATGGTCAGAAGTTCAAGGTTATTCTCAACCACGTAGTGAGCTGGAGACCAACCTGGGCTATGTAAGACCCATCTCAAAACAAAACAAAAAGAAAGAAAGAAAGAAAGAAAGAAAGAAAGAACGAAAGAAAAGAGGGGAGCAGGTTCGGTGGTTAAGAGCTCTGGATGCTCTTGCAGAAGACCTGGATTCCATCCCCGTCTGTAACTCCCGGGGATCTGACCTCTGTGGGCACTAGACACGCACTTGGCACACAGACATACATTGCAGGATAGACAGCCCTACGCACAGAGAAAAAGAGGATGAGGAGACAGCAGCTGTCAAGGCGATGGGGGCCAGGCTGGCAGTCTAGGGAGCCCTGGGAGACCAGAGAGTGTACACACTGATGTGGGGGAGATATTCTCCGGCCTTGCATCACAGCACATAATTTTGTGTGAGCTTCTCCCCTTGGGAGTCCCAGGCCCAAGTAAGGCCCTCTCCACCCCTCAGCTTCCTGATCTGTAAAAGTGGAAACAGTGTGACAACCTGGCACTCTGCCTACATGACCAACACCCTGCTCCTGACACTGTTGTCCCTATCATCTGGAAAGATCTCTTATGTGCTCTCTGGCTTGGAGTGACCGTGTGCCTAACAGCTATAAATACAGATTTTTGAGAGAGACAAAAGTGAGTCGTAACATACGTGGGCCATCGAGGTGGCTCAGAGTGTGGCGGCTCTTGGGAACCTGATGACCTGAGTTCCATTCCTGAATCCCTCGGTGGAAGGAAACTGCTTCCCCAAGTTGTCCTATGATCTCCACGGACATAGGGTGGTATTTGTGTGCTCTCGCCTACACAGTACAAATAAAATACAAATAAAAATAAAACGTAGAAATCATTTAGAATGGCTGCAGGTCCTGGGTGCGTTTGTTTCCCACAGCTGTCTCTTTTTTCCCCTGTGGGCTGCTGTTTGACGCTAAGGTGTGTCAAATGTTTTGCCTGACATCTGACAATCGCGTTTTTGCATGCCAGTTATTTTTCCAGTTTCTGTCCAGAGAGGAAAGGGTCTGGCTGTGACCTTTAGCCTCTGCTCTCCACCCCACAGGACACAGAGAGCCAGAGCGAGCGAGCGAGCGAGCGTGTGTGGGGCACAG